AATTTTAATATTTTATTTTTTTTATTAGGTTGACTTTCCCTTGGCCATGGATGAGACGAGATTACAATCAAAATTGTTATAAATTGAGAGGCTGTTGGTTGATTCAGCTTCATTTAATTAATCCAAAACTATACAGTTTTAAGATTTTTATTGTAAAAGTTACAATTAAAAAAATGTATATAAAAAAATCAAACTAAATTTTAAATAACTTAATTAGATTATAAATTAACTTATTAATCCAATTAAATCATCCTATACCAACTCTTATCTAGTTTATAATTATAAATAATTAAAGAAAAAAAATTAAAAGTTAGCTAAGTTAGTGAATGAGTTTTTTACATAATTTATTTTTTAAACCACACCATTTTAGATGTTAGTTCAATCAAATTCCTAATCAATTTGGGGGTTCTATATTATAGGGTTGTTCTAAGGTTTATGATTTTTTTTTTTTTTGGGGTCCATGTTCTAGGTAGTTCTAGGGTTTTTAATGACATAAATTATATCTTTATAACAAGCATCCAAACAAGTAGAATAACTTTAATTAATTTGTTAGGACGTCCCTCTACTTTCATAAATTTCTTAATAGATTATTCATCAATCATTTTTTTAATCAAAATCCTCATACGTGCTGTCCATCACTCAATCAAGTCCCCACCGTTTCGTCCAATTCAAGGTGCTGTTGACCTTGCGACATCCATTGCAAACGAGGTTTGACAGGTGATATTATTCATCCGCATATTCAAATGGTATTTTTTATATATATTTAAAAAGTGTTTTTAAAAAAATTTATTTTTTTATTTTAAATTTATTTTTTGTGTTTTTAAATAATTTTAATATGTTAATATTAAAAATAATTTTTAAAAATTAAAAAATATTATTTTAATATATTTTCAAGTAAAAAATACTCTAAAAAATAATCCCAACACCACTACTAATATACATAAGAAAAACAAATCGTAACCATCTAGATAGTGGCCAAGTGGTAAGGACTTGGGATCAAGGGGTTTGCTCCCTCTGTGGTCTCAGGTTCGAGTCCTTGGTTGCTCATATGATGGCCACTAGAGGTTTACATGGTCGTTAACTTCAGGGTCCGTGGGATTAGTCGTGGTGCGCACAAGCTGGCCCGGACACCCACGTTAATCTAAAAAAAAAAAAAACAAATTGTCGCAAACCAGTGCTTGGCCTAGCGATGGAAGGGGCTTGTCTCCTTCCACTGCACCTGGATTCGAGCCCTGGCGTGCACGCCTGTCACCTCCGCGGTGCCTTACATACCTACTGGGTTTGCAGGGTATTCAGTGGGCCGTGGGAATTAATTGTGATGCGCGCAAGCTCCCCGCATAAATCAAAAAAAAAAATCATCAATTGGTGACTTATTTTATTATATGTGTAATTGTACTAGTGAAACTCAAAGTTCAAGTGACGTGTTTTTAAACATATTTGGTTAGATTTAATATATTCATTTAAAAAATTCACATCTTATCTTAAATTTTAAATTAAATAAAAAAATATATTGACTTAATTTGAACCTAATTCCAATACAACTAGTCAACTTCATAAATTTTATTTAGAAAAATAAAATGACAATAAAAATTAACTGGAATTAATGGCAAATTAATCTATAACTTAGTAATCCAAACTTGATCTCATGTAACATATTCATTTATGAAATCCATCATTATAATTATATTTTAAATTAAATACAAAAAATTATAAAAAAAAATATTAAATTAATTTAAACTTGATTCAAATCCAACAGAATCAACTCAATTTTTTTTTTTATTGATGCTATTTTAATAAAAAAAATAAAAATAAAAATAAGCAAATTTAATTTAAAGATTCACTCTAAAATAATCCAAAACTTAGCAACCCAAACTTGTTAACATATTAATATCCAAACTGAATCTAATAACCATTATAGAAACAACTTTCAGTGTGAAGCAGGTAGAGTCATGTTGATCCGATTTCATAATTATCATGCCACTTCATAAAACCTGTGCACCTTCTCCTTCTTTGATTCTTCTTTACGGGCCAGAAACCCATGTTGCATGGGCTAGTATCCTGTTGGGCCAACCCAATTTAGTGCTATTTTCTTATGATATTTTATACAATATGCTCAATTTTCCATAATTAAATCCATATAAAACAGTACACAGAATATGTTTTACCATTAGATTGTGATTAGCTGCACAATTTCTGTTTCTGTTTTTATTTTTTAAAAGTGTTTTTGACTTGAAAAAATAATAAATTAATATTTTTTTAATGATTTTAATGTGTAATATTAAAAATAAAAAATTATTTTTAAATAAAAAATTATCATTAAAAAGCATACGTCATTTCAAACACTCTAAAATACACGTGCTGCTGCACACAGTTTCGGAAGGTTTACCTCTGATTATTATTATTATTATTATTATTATTATTATTTAAAATAGCATGGTGAGAGGGAAAATTTGCAAATAAATCAAGCTGGGATTTTTCAAAAAAAAAATAATACGCTTTTGTCGGTTCCGTTATTAAAAATAGCGCATCCAACAAATACTTTATTGATTGTTCAACACAATTTATTAAAATAATTTTTTTTTTTAAATTGCATCAATCCCATTAACACAACTTAAAAAAATTAAAAAGTTGATGCATGGATCTCAATCATAAAAGATTATTTATTTTTGTAATTGAAATCATATTTTATAAATTTTTTAATTAAAAATATTATTTTATATTTTTAGATATTTTAATATGTTGATATTAATTATTTTTTAAATATTTTTAAATAAAAATACTTTAAGAAATAACCATCACTATCCTCTTAAATACAGCGCCCAGCGGCTCTCTTTATAGATAACCTAAATTAAAATATATATATATATATATATATATTTTAATTTAGGTTATCTATAAATTGCGCCGCTGGGAGCTGCGTCATCTCTAAAATTGTTTCACTTTCCAAATTGTTTTTAAACATAATATTTACCTTCTTTTTTTTAACAAATGTGGTGCTGTGAAAAAATTCATTTTCATGCATAGCAATCAAATCACCGGGTCATGATACATTCATAGCCATTTGGACCGAAAGAGATGCCAAAATGATTATTATAAATGGTTTCTCTCTCCTCCTCTTTTTTTCTCAAATTTTCAGTAGCATTTATTTTTAAAATATTTAAAAAATATATATTTCTTATTTTTAAAAATTTATTTTTAATATTAATATATTAAAAATTAAAAATATTTTTTTATAAAACATCATTTAAATCGATTCCAAACATCACCTTGACCTAAATACAAAAACTCAAACCAAATAAGTTATGAGAATAAAAATGGAAAAGAAATATAGATTTTGTTTGTTTCATATATTTTTTGAAAAAATTATTTTTTAAATTTTTTTGTATTTATTTATTATTAAAAAATTGATCAATAAAAAATATTTTTCAATAAAAAAATCAAATTTAGTTTTAGAAAAGTATCTTTCTTTTATTTTAGGCAGAAAATATGTTTTAGAAAGTTGTTAAATTTTTTTAAAATATTATGTTATTTGCTAATTATATTAAATTTGTTTATCAAATTTTTGATTGTTATATATTTTATTTTGAATTGTTTTCAATTTCATCTCTTAGAATTTAATTTAATTTAATTTTTATATCAACTTTGATCATCATTTTTATGATTGTTATTTACTTTTCTCTTATTATTTTTTTATTAAAAATTTTTATTTATCAGATTTAATCCTGATTCTTTTGATTATTATTTATTTTATATGAAATAATTTATGAAATTATAATTTTTTTTTTAATTTTATCATCTTTTAACTTTTTTATATGTTAAATTTGATCTCCATTATTTTAATTTTTATTTACTTTATTTGAGATAATTTAATTATGAAATTAAGTTTTTTCAATTTCATTCTCATTTAAAATTTTGTTTTATACATTTTATTATTATTTTTTTAATTTTATCATCTTTTAACTTTTTTATATGTTAAATTTGATCTCCATTATTTTAATTGTTATTTACTTTATTTGAGATAATTTAATTATGAAATTAAATTTTTTCAATTTCATTCTCATTTAAAATTTTGTTTTATACATTTTGTTTTCATTATTTTAATGAAATTAAAAAATATTAATAAGTTATTTTTATTATTTTAATGAAATTAAAAAAATATTAATAAGTTATTTCCCAACTTATTTTTTATTATATAGCCAAATAATGAAAAATATTTTTCAATTTATTTTTCATAATACTGCCAAACATCATAAAATAATTTGTTTTTTAAAAATTTATCTAATGAAAAATATTTTTCAATTTATTTTTCGTAATACTGTTAAACATCATAAAATAATTCGCTTTTTAAAAATTTATTTTTCAAAAAAATTACTTAAAAAAATAATTTTCAATAACTAAATCTGGCCTAAAATGCTCCCATGTTGCAAAAACTTCGAATTTTTTTTTAATATCATTGTGGTAATGGTTATGGCTTTTATATTAATACATATTATCCTCGATTATTATTTACAAAAATGTACTTGAAAGAATGACCCTTGAAGCCGACAACATTTCCTAAATTTAAAGCTTGATTGATGGGGGGCTTCTTTTGCGTAACTCAAGATTGAAATTATATAGACTTCACAGTTTATCAAGAAGAAGAAGAGGATAGCTTCGTTATTAAAAGAGAAAGTACAAATTAGCTTCATTAAGACTTGAAGTTTAACCTTGGAAAATTAAAGAACAAGAAGAAGAGTAAGTAATAAAAGTAAGGGAGTCGCATTCTAATACTTGTTCTAGTGGTTCTAGTGGTGGAAAGGAGCTTGTTTCCTTCCATTGCACCTGGATTCGAATCCTGGCGTGTACGTCTGTCACCCCCGCGGTGCTTTACATAATAGCTTCGTTATTAAAAGAGAAAGTACAAATTAGCTTCATTAAGACTTGAAGTTTAACCTTGGAAAATTAAAGCACAAGAAGAAGAGTAAGTAATAAAAGTAAAGGAGTGCTAGTGCGTATATATGGTATAAAAGTTCAAATTACTGTAATACCTTTATATATTACCATGGTATCTTGCACAGTAGACGAAAATACTAAGGCGAAGTAGCCTGAAAAAGGTATATAATGAAAGACAAGATTGATTTTAAACTCTCTTAATTAAGAAGTTTTAAGCAGCAGATGGTGCAGGGACGTAGGATAAGGCAGGCTCAGGCATGGAAGACAAGATGGATGACCTCGAGAATGTTTCTTCTTCTGGAACTGAGTTTTCACCATTGAAATCGAGGGACTCATCATTATATATATCCCACCATTTTGCCACTAACATCTTGATGTCCTCTCTATCCATGTTAGCTTCCTTGCCGGTGAATCTCCAAGGTTTTGAACCCTATTTTTATTTTTTCAAGGATGGAAGAGAAAATTGAACCCAAATTAAGTATATATGTGCATAATAAATTAAAAATATAAGATAGTATTTGATGTTATTCAAAGAAGAAGACTACTTACAGCAGCACAGTAGTGAACCACTTTAACCTTCTCGACCTCCACGTTCTCAGGATGTCGCCATAACATGGCTAAAACCAGGTTGTAAAGCAGAGGGATTGGCTTGTATGTTTTTTGGAAAAACATATTTAAGAAATCCTGCCATATGATCCCCAAGCAAATCGGAAAAACATTAGAAATTAACAATTTTTTCTTGCTTCTCCCGAGTGTCAATCGATTAATCCATTTTTACTTTATTTTCATACGTGTGTGGTTAAATGCAGGTATGACTTACTTGCTCGGCAAAGGGGGTTGGTGGGGTGATCAGCAGTTTGTCAAGAAGGCTCTCATAAGTCAAACGACTAGGCTCAAATACAAACATCCCAGCATTGAAGTACAGGGGAGGAGGAGAGCCCATCTCAGCAGGCCATGTTATCTTGTCCGGGCACTGCTGGCAGTAGCCGACGGAGTATTGAGGGGAGTGGCTCCATGTTTTCTCACAGAAGCAGTCCATCACGGCGTAGAAGTAGCCATCTTGGGTGTCAAATAGATGGTCTATATTCTCGAACACTTGGATATCAGCATCCAAATATATCATCTTGCTGTACTCCTCAAACTGTGCATACAAGAAAATCGAGCAAGCATATATATAATTTTATACGACGATTGGGTACATAAACAACCATCTTTTGGCAACCGAACTTGTGTCGCCGGCCAAAAAAAAATAAATCATGCTTAGGTGACAAGATATTTGTCGCCTGAAATCATCTTAATGAATACAACCAATCAATATAATGCACTTTCTTAAAACTTTATTAGCATATTCATGATGAATTTTGTCATTGTAGAAAGAATTTGTTACCAAAAGCTATTGGGACATGGGCGACAAAATTGGTCACTTTGTTTTTCGTCACCAAAACCTTTGGTGATGAAAAACACTGCTTATGATGACAATAAAAAAAAATTCATGATAAAAAATATATCTCATCTATTTATGTCAATTTAATTATATAAATGAGAATTTACCATATAAATAAATGGTGGGTTTTGGGGATTCAAGCTCTGGTAAACATCATTTGATTATATATTTAGCTTGTTTAAAAAAAAATTATACACAAAAGTCACATCAATTCGAACATATTCCACATTTTCATTTGAGGTAAAAAGTGTCTATCTGTACTGTATAAATTAATACATAAATTATACTTATACGAAGTGTCATGGATTATATATATGCTTATAGAATTACGTTGATGCATGTTTAACTTACATTCCAAATTCGGAGCTTGGAGTAGTTGATCACGTAGTAGGCCATGGCAAACTGAATCTGGTTCTCAGGTGGATAAATAGGCTCGATCTCACGAACAATGCAACCTTGAGACCTCAAAATGTCACGGTGTTCCTCAGGCACATCCGGCAAGATTGCGACGACAAGAGGGTATGCACTCTTCACCTTGCGCAAACCCTTAGCCAACCCAACTACCCCTTTAACATAATCCCCGTTGCCGGCTAAAAATGTCACGTAGGCCCTCTTAGAATAGCCAGTGTTAACTGTGGAAACCTTCCCGGTACCCAAAATATTCCCATCTATAGGCACTCCTGGGGCCATATTAATGAAGATTTATTCAAGCTTGACGTAGACTATATATATATATACAGTACAAATTAGGTTATTTGGAATGTATAGAGAGTCTAAGAACAATGGTTTTGAGGATTGTTAGGAAAGTAAACCAGCAACGCTAAGGATGCTACTCCACCATCCTTTTTAGTCCCGAGTTCTTCAAGAGTGCTCGGGCCTCCTTAAATAGATCTAAAATTTAGTCTAAATTCATGCCAAATGAACTCCAAATGCAACTCCATAAGTCCTTTTCATGTTTACGAACCAGTATTGTTTTGTGCAATAGTATATGGTGGTATACAATTTTTCATGAATTGAAAAATGAATGAACACCGTTTTTTTGTAAAATTCACGTTCATAGCCTTATCATCACTAGCCTTATCATCAAAATGAACGGTTGAGTTCACAATATGTATTTGGTTGGGGTCGTCATCGATCATGATCAATTGGGTGATCGATGCCATTAAGAATGTCTTCGGATGTTGTAAAGACACCAATTCATTGGGAGTCATTTTCCACATGAAATTAAAATTAATTAATGGAGATCAATGGAAATGGAGTATGTAGTTGGTTTATGTGGGCCTTTCAGAGAGGAAGTTAAGCATGCAATGCCAAATTTTGGATGGTTCTACTATGTCAAATGGCAATCGAATTCCTTTGTGGAGTCCCAGGTAAGATACCTGGAATTAATTGGCTCAAGTTGAGCCATTTTGTATCTTGATGGTTTGGGTTTCATTTTGGTCAACTCAAAAATAATATAAAAAAATATTTAAAATTTTAATATTTCTATATAAACATTTGATGTGAATGGATGCTATAATTAAATAACTATCCCATATAAAAAAATAATAAACATCTCATATATATATATATATATATATAGTTATCTCATACATAAAAATTTAAAAATAATGCATATAAATTGAGGAGGTTATATACATAGTTATCACACATAAAAACATTAAAAAAAAAATTCATATGAATGATACATATCCCACATTAAAAAATTAAGAAACTTTCCATATAAATGGAGGCTATATATATATAGTTATATCATATAGAAAAGTTAAAAAAAAAAATTCATGTGAATATAGACAATAAATATAATTATCCCACATGAAAAGGTTAAAAAATATTTTATGAGAACATTGACTATAAAAAAAAATATAAGATTAGGTATTCAAAAATTAAATTTATATTTTTTAGATTTTTTAAAATATATATATAAATCAAGTTTTATTTAGATAACATTAAATCAATCAGGTTTTGAAGTCATCCATAAAACTAATTACAAACCTAAGTTTTGAACATTTAAAACTCAGCTATAAAAACTTGAGTTCTCAAGTGAACCTATGAAACTGTGCTAGCTTTATATATATGCTTTCGATAAGTTCATGCAAATGACTTGAAATTAATTATAGCAATGCATAAAGAAAAAATAAAATAAAAATAGAACTCAACTTTAACCCAAGTCCCAAAGATAGGAAAAGGGGTTTCCATTTGACTAATCGACACTTGTTTGCATCATGCTATTAAGATTTAGGGCTCATGTACCTTCACCATGAATGCAGTAAATTTTTTAGTAAGATCATGTAATTTTACTAAGGAATCAATTAGTGTGATTGGGACATAAGCTAGAGAAAAACAAAATTTACGAAAGATTATTGATTCAATATTTACCTTTGGAAAATCCCCTTTATCCCTTTTTTGGTAGAATAAAAAAAAATTCCATTTCCTTTTCTTTTTCTTATCTAATTTTAAACTTAAGAAAATCTTTTATTGTCTAATAATATTTTGATCTAGCAAGGAAAAACAATTTAGACTTTAAAGATATAATGTGATATTATTATCATCTTATTTTTAAGATATGGATTGTTAAAATATAAAGATTTTTTTGTGAATATATATAAATTTATATGTAAGTGTTATTTAAGAGTGTAGTAATAATTATGATTTAAAATATTTTTTTTGTTAAGAAATATATTAAAATAATATATTTTATTTTATTTTATTTTTATACTAACATATCAAAACGATATAAAAATATAAAAATTAATTTTAAATAAATTTTTTTTTTTTTTTAAATATAGCTTGAACTATATTTTTAAATATTATTCAAAACTTTTCAAGTTTTGACATGTTAAATTATTAAATTAGATATTTAAATTTAAATTTCATCTAAAAATCTAAACTTTGTAATGGATGATTTATATATTAATCTTTTATTATTTATTTATTTCACCTCAGATTTTGCTAATACAAACAAATATGATCGGAAATGAATATATATATATAAAAGAAGAAGTTCAAACTTTAAACCATTTATAAAGAATGATTATTTCTTTCTAATATCTATAACGCGGTGTATTATAGCATAAAAAATTAATTAGTTGGACTTATACAGGCTGTGAGAGGGAAATGGATCAATGTTGAATTACATATTTGATTTAAAACGAATCTCTTATATTTTCTAACATGTTGAAGATTTATTTTTTAAAATATTTTTTATATTAAAATAATATTTTTATTTTTAAAAATTTATTTTTAATATGAATACATAAAAATAATTTAAAAATTTCAAAAACTTTTAAAAATATACTCAGATCATAATGCCAAGGAAGGCGGAAAAGGAAGCATCAATCACGGTGCTGTTCTTCTTTGATTTTCTCCTCTGTTTGTGCTTCTGACAACATTATCTTCCATTGTACTCCTTGGAATGGATTTTAATTATCGGGCTCCACGCCACATCCATCCTTTCGATCCTGGATTTTTATTCTCTCTTTTACATTATTAATTGCAAGTGTAGAGAATAATATCTTGCATTTTCCACTTTGTGTCAAGCGTTTGATTAGTTTTTTATTTTAAAATATATTAAAATATGTTGTTTTTTTATTTTTAATATCAACATATTCAAATTATTGAAAAAAATTATGTTAATTTGATACTTTTTAAACAATAAATACTTTTAAAAAACATCTAAAAATAAAAATAAAAACACTATCCAAACAATAAGCGGCAGCAGAGAATCAATTGGGTTCCTGCTGACTTCGTTGAGTGTAAAGAGAATCAGGAGCCAAGGCAATGATCAGGGTAACTCCATTTGGGTTTTCATGCTTACCATATAAGTAAAGAAATGTGTAATATAGTGGAAAACAATGAGGAAAAAAGAAGAAGACAAGGATAACATTTGAATGTAGGGATCCATGTTATTTAAAAAAGAGAGAGTATATGTACATTTGTTTTTAGCATTTAAAATTCAACACAATTACTTCTAAGTGATGATATTTGTAATCCTAAATTTACAAAAAAATTATTCTAAATGGAAAAAATACAAAATAATAATTAAAATTAAACATACATATTTAATTGAAATTCAACAAAAAAATTAAAAAAATAACTAAAATTCAACAAAATAATGCAAATATTATTTCAATAACTAAAATTCAACACAATTATTAATTCCTAAAATTACTAAGATCACAAAAATGAAAAAAAATAATGCAGAAAAAAGAAAAAGAAAATGGAAAGAAAAATTCTTACCTTAATGATGTGTTTAATTTTGGTTCAAAATTAAAAAAAATAAAAGAAGAGAGATTATTAATAAAACCAAACAAAATATAAAGAAAAATGAAGAAAAACAATATACCTAGGGATGAAAAGAGAAGGGAATTATTGATTTTGACCAAGAAGGAGAAAGAGAAGAAAAGAGAAGAGAAAGAAAGAAAAAGAAACATGACTCTAAGAGAAGAAGAAAGAAGAAGATGAATCTCTGTTTATTCTGATTCTGATATTCTAATTTTTATTATTAATAAAATTATTGATGAAATATTAAATATTAGTATTTTTTAATATTTTTGTTATGATTTTGTTTGTAAAGTCAAATGAAGTTTTTGACTTGCATGAAAATTTTCAGAAAACCCTCCAAATATTACTGATTACTTTTTATTCTGTCAATGATTACATTGAGAAAAAAATAAATAATCAAAATATCATTGAGAAGTTAACAATGCTTAAAGTCATTAAAATATATTGATGGACACATTCTGTTAGTATTGCCGAATGTAATCAACATTATAAACAATGCTAGGAACAATGAGAACAGTTTTTATAGTCATTAGAATATATCAACAGATATATTTTATCAATATATCTATATATAATGTACAGTCTGTTAGTATTTTAATCGGTATAAAATGGTTTATTATTACAATATCTGGATCAAGAAACTTTTTATTTTTACAGCTCTTGTATAGATATCTAACATTTTATAATTACTAACTACTTTTTATTTTGTTGGTGATTAAATTGAGAAAAAAGTAAACAATCAAAATATCATTAATTATCAGCCCATTTAGAAGTTAACAATCCTTAAAATCATTGAAATATATTAACGGACACATTTTATCAGTATTGCCGCATGTAATCAACACTATGAACAATGTTAGGAAGAATGAGAACGGTTTCCATAATTATTGGAATATATCGATGGACATATTTTATTGGTATACCTATATATAATGTACAGTCTGTTAGTATTTCAATCGGTATAAAATGATTTATCATTACAATATCTGGATCAAGAAACTTTTTATTTTTACACCTCTTGTATGAATATTTAATATAACATTCCGCAATATGTCTCGAATTAGATAATGCATAATTAATAAAAATTTGAACCTCTTTATAATAATTCATCATTTGAATTTCAATACATCCATAAATGATAATCTATTATTTATATCAAATTTATATAAAATAATGATAATAACATGTATTAATTAACCACGTTAATTAAATAAATTTATAAAAATATTAGTTTAACTCAAATTTATTCAATTTAGTTTAATAATACTCTTAATTTTTTTATTATATATATATATATATATAATTTTTCATTTTTTTATTATATATATATATATATAATTTTCCATACATTTACCAAAAATTTTAACTCAATAATAAAATAAATAAAATATAAAATATACTCATTAAATAAATCATTGTTTATTTCATTCTTAAACTACCGTCATCCAAATTCCTAGTAGTTTTTAATCCAACTCAAACCCAATCCTGGTTCCTTCTTGATATTCAGAGTCAATTCCCACCAATCATCAGGTTAATCTAGGCTTGTTCCTTTTAGCTCTCAAAACCTGGTTTTGACCCCAGCCTTGTCTTGACTTGATTCCCAAAATGCTTCAAACCCAGTAATTACCCATCCTCAACATTCTAGATACTATCCTGAATATCTAGGTGTCCTAAACTCGGTTTTGATATGATTAAGATCTAAGTCCAGAATCATAGATTACTGGTGTAGAACAAGTCATGAAAACTATTTTTTTAAAGCTTTTGAAAACCTATTGTAAGTTTTTATTTTTTTAATTTATTAAAAACAAACAAGTTTTCTTATATTGTCTTATATCTAAAAAACAAAAAAAACAAAAAAACAAAAAAAAAACGAAACGATATTAAAACGTGCCTAGCATTTTCAGCTTTTCCTCCCAGATGGTCCCAAATTACGCGGATTGAAGATTGCAAGGAGATCAAGAGGGCGAGTGGAGACAAGCCCCTTCCACCGCTAGGCCAACCCACGCGCATAGATACTTGATAATGAAGGTGCTGCCCTTCTATTCCAGGTAATTCGAATGCGGTTCCCAGTCGATTGGCTCCGTTCGAAGAAAACAAGAAATCAAGATGATTCCGAAACCAAAAAGAAAAGTCGACGCTCAGCCTCTCATCAAAAGTGGTGAAATATCATCCATGCAGTGCTGTTTAGCCCCTCCACCATAAGATATCCGGCAAGTTCGTGTTCCAGACATTTTCCAGTATTTATTATACAAATTGTTGAAAAGGGCACTTTCCTGGTGTTTTTGAACGCCATCTGTCACACAAAAAAAAATAAAATAAAAATCATTTCATTTCAATTCAATTTAATTAATAATTTAAATTATTAGATAGATGGGTTATAAAATATAATTTATATTATTTTTTAATATATTTTTAAAGTGAAAGTCTTTTAAATTTGAAACTTATATATTTGTATTTTTTAATATATTTTTAAAGTGAAAGTTTGAAACTTATATATTTTTTTTATCAAATAAATAAAAATGATAAGATTTGAACTTGTGACTATTTGATTATTAAGACACTGATATCATGTCAAAAAATTATTTCAATCCAATAATTTAAACTATTAGGTAATGTTTTATAATATAATTTATATTATTTTTTAACACTATTTTTATTTTTTTAATATGAGTATTTGAACTAGTTTGTATATACCTTAATTAATTTCACGAGTTTCTAAAATTAACAATCATCTATGTTTATGTAAATTCAAGATTTGATCAATTAAATTTCACCATTCAGAATTAAATACTTATATGATTTGATAATTTTTTTGTTTTTTGAAATTCTTATCTTTTAAAATATAATTCATGAGTGTTCCATTACGGGTCATTTTCAACATCAATAAACTTTTGAATCCAAATAATATATAATATATTGTAACCACAAATGGAGAAGGGTTTTCGTGAACAATTATACATGTAAATAGATCATTTAATCAATAAAAGACAAGCAGGGAATCTTAAATCAAAATTCTAGAAGTAAAGAAGGGTTTTGACAGAGATTTCAAGTGTTATAATTCATGAGAAGGGGGGGGGGGGGAGCAAGAAAGGGAAATTATAATATGTTAATAACTCTTTCCTTTTTATCAATTTCATGCTTGTTTTTAATTTATATTGCTTTTTTTAAAATAAAAAGAAATAGAGAGGAGAAGTATTTTGGGGATAAAAACTATTAAAATAAAGACTGTCAACGTTGATCAAGGAGTTTTTTTTTTTAAGTAAGGATTGTTGATTTACTTTTTGATACTAGAATAATTATTTAAAATAAAATACAAGGACCAAGTAAATAACTAAGGCCTGAATCATTGTAGGCCCAAAAGCAAATCGCGTGCTTACCCAAAAATCAAGGACGCTAAAAGCCCTAAACCAAAGGCTTGAATCCCTCTAGGCCCAAAATAATGGCCCGAAGCCCTTCTTCTTGTCCTCTCGCATTCAGTACGCTGTGTCTACTCTCTCCCTCTTCTGAGTTCTGCCACAAGAAGAGAAGTCTTTTGCAAACCATGCTAGACGAGACCACCCAGGGATCCTACGCCAAAATTATAACCCACGCCACTCGCTTCCAATACTGCCTGACACAATAGTGTGTCAGCGTGCCCTCTTTTCTTGATCCAACGGACTGCATTGAGAAGAGAAATGAAGGGCAAGGATGTTGCCAGAAGTGTTGATAGGTAAGGTCTTTAGGGTTTCTGTCCACTGCCCACTTGTTATTAGCGTCGAAAGATAGAGAAGGAAGGGTTTTTGAGTAGAAGAAAATTGGGGCTTCACGAGAGAGAGGGTTTCAAGGATTATTCGCAAGGGTTTAAGAGAAATGGATACTGGAGTGAGGTTTCAAAGGAGGAAATCAGAAGTTATGGCAGAACAAAGACAAACCTTGGGTTTAGCAAGCAGATGCTGCCAGTTGCAAAGCAGGAGGATTTTAGCAGATCTTGTTTAGGTATAATTTCTAAAACCATGAGATCCATTCGGGTTCAAAGCTACATTACATTTTAGTTTCTGGCTTTGTTTTGGATTAATGGGAACAGTTAGTACGAATTATTTAAAAGACGGACTCACTATCTGCCTTTAGCTAGTTGTGCCTTGATTTCTTGTGCTTTGCTTGTAACTTCTGTATGTTTGTGTAATCATCTAAATTGCTTCATCACTCACCCTTATACTTGACTTCACTTGTTAAGTTTTTTATATGTTTCAACTTAAATGCAGAAACCTGTTGACACCTCCTTTTTGAATTTTGTGACTTGTTCGTAGGTTTAGTGTTAAGTTTTGACCGAAGTCAACTTAAATGAATTACAAACACTTTATGATTGATATACAATGGATATTCTGATGACCCTTGAGTGGTATCAGGATGCATCGAATGAATTCGCTGTCCTGTTGTTTTCTTTGTACTGATTTCTCGAGCTTAGCCTGTTAGTAATAAAATGCTTTTGTAGTTAGCCCTGAAGCATAGGAACCAAGAATGGCAACCTTTCTTGGAAAGGATGTTTAAGGGCGACATTAGATCTTCTCTTCACATAATCAAAATCCATGGACCATAGAAATTCTTAGTTGACCACTAGATTAGGTTTTACCTACGCTACCTTAAATTAGGGCGACCAAATCTACTTTAGTTTGTTGAGTGAGTCCCAGGTTGCAATATTGACATGCATCAACTTCCCTTTCCATTTGGATTTAGTTATCATCACAATTGCTACTTGGAAGGATTAAATCCCATCTGTCTTTCCTTCTTCCATGGGTTTTTGAAATTGTTAAGATTTATGTTCCAGGCTAGTAATTATTCACTCTTATAATACCCCATTCAGGCTTTCCATCATCGCGCAGAAAGGTGATCTTAGGTGCCCCCACTTTATTATTTTCTTTGGTTAATATTAAGAATAGAAGGAATGCTTTTTATAGCAGCAGCAACCTTATTATCAGATTGAATTAAATCTTTTAAGAAATTAATAGTAGGAACTGTGCTGTAGGTGTTTCAAGTTTCTCTGCAAGAAAGAGTTTTTTTTTTTTTTCCAGGACTGTGCAGAATTAATTTTGGGCTTGTTTAGTGAGGTTTGAGATTCGAATTCCAGAGAAGCTGTAATTCTTTAATAAGGAAATAACAGATTCAGGTTTGCCTGGGGTTTCAAATATGGACAGGCCTGGAAACTGATATTACAGTAAATTAGACCATTTGTACTTTTATTATTTGATGAGGTGTCTGGGAGATGGCTATATTGATTCCTTTATTGAGAGGGATTGTTTTAGTAATTTATATAGCAATTTTAGGGCTTTAGTGCAAGCTGAACCCACAGAAGTAAAACCTTTAGTTTGTGTTGTGGGGTTTTAACTTTCAAGAGAACTAATAAGCCTGAAATTGAGTAAGTACTTACTGATTTAGGAAGTTAGAGAAAATTGAGAAGGAGAGCGTTTAGGAAGGGAAGAAGAGCTACAAGCTTTGTTTGTGAATGATCCTCGTCAAGCTATTCCAATGATCAAAGTCCTTTGTATACAGTCACCTTGAAAATTTGAATATCCATTGAATATTTTATTTATTAAACATATATTAATCTTATTTATTAAACATATATTAATGAAGCACCAAATTTTACAGTGCAAAACAATCCATTATATATAGTAGCAAACCAGACATCCTCACACTCTAATATCTTACTATAGTAAATGCTTGTATACACTCTCACACAAAATAATTCTGCTAATTGCTAAAGGAGGATTCCTTAAAAACTCAATTGAGTAAATATAACTTTACCTAATAAGCTAATGGCGTGACAGGGGTTGGGAAATCATACCAACCACACAATTCAATACACCAATGGTTGACTGGTTGAGATCAACATGCATCATAATCTCTCTGAGGATGGTTGCCTGATGGCTTGCCAATCTGTAGGCAACTAATTGGAGGCATGGTAGGAGTTTTCAACTCTCCAAAAGTCTGCCAGCAGAACGGATCGTAGAGGTGATACTGTTTTTGTAGTGGCTTTAACTCTATGGTAGTTAGACTGACATCCATGCATGGTAGGGCATCACTGCAGGCAAAGTGTACAGGTTTTACTGTGTATGTCCCTCTTATGTTTTCATAGGTGATTCCTGATAGAGCTACTGCTGTCGTTTGGTTTTTGCATTTTCTTTTGTCGCAATAGAATTGATCAATCACAATTGGAAGTTGAACCTCAGAGACTTGAATGTTTGAGAACAGCACTCCCTGTACAGAGCCTGATCCACCCTGCAGATGTTATAGTTGAAATTGCATGTGAGTCACACCTTGAGCAACTTGGTTAAATTGGAAATACTGCAATCTAGTTTACGGAAACCTTGTAAGCTAAATACAAAATGGCTCCAGCAGTTGCTTGAACCAATGAACTTGGTAATATCATGTATACGAAAAGACAGAACATTATGTTTAGATGTTGAAAGAAACTCTTTCTGATTTTTAAGTTTCAGCGAGAATGTTCATTCTAGTTTCTAAAAGAGAGAAGGTGTCTCAGAAGCTTCTCATTCTGAAGCTTTTAATAGACAAGGGTGTGTGCAAGAATATTTAAAATATCGTGGACCTTTCGAAGCTGAAAGCTTCATTTTGATTGATATCTTTGTTAATTATATAATGTACTATCAGTCTGTGTGGCTTAAAATGTGTTTTGGTTTGTAAAACCCCTACAAATCAAATAGATTTCTGGTTGCAGTTAGCAAATTTTGAATAATATGGCATTGCAGATATTAAGAATACCTGCCATGTCTTGACTCTGACACCTGTCATTGTGCCATGCATAACAACATCTCGTACAGTGATATTTGAGACACAGGCTTTTGTATTATCTTTTCCCAGACCTCCGATGCTGATTCCATGTCCCGGTCCGCAATTAACATTGTGTATGTATACATTTGAGCATCCAGTTTGTATAGAAACACAGTCATCTCCTGCATGACATTTAAACATTTCATTTTGTAATGATTATGACATAGGGACCTCTTAGGTCTGCTATCTAGTTCAAATTAACTGTCTTTGAGATCGAAACTCCATTGCCTACTTGGATTCCAAATCGTTTACCTATATTTGAGGTGTTGTCATCTCGTACTATTGCTGTCATTTCTGGTACATTATGCTATATGTTGTGAGGATTTTCTAGAAAGTAGAGTAGTATAAAAAGGATGGAAGCAGAAGTTCTGATCATTGATAAAGTCAAGAAAAATTGGGAGCGTGCAACAGAAGGTGTGCTCTTGTGCCTTTGGGGGCAAACCTAATCCTATATTGGACTGATAATGATTTAGGGTATGATGTGTGTCAAATGAATTGCAGCCAAAATACTCGAAAGTGTGGAGGCTGTTGGTTGCCATGTGTCAAATAAACTGTGGCCGTTGAATGTCTGTATGAGAAGTTCACGGAAAGGATAAGGTGGTACCAATTTTTAATCAGAATCCTATCCCAGTTATCTAAATTATGTGGCTTTCTTTTGTCTCTGATTTCAACAGTACCATCAAGTGTTAAATAATTCCTTTTGTAGTGGCTGAGCCTCTAAACCTTCTATTTGACTCTTCAGTTCCTGTGTTTGTTTGTCAAGTTCACCCTACAGCCCCACATTGTCTAGTTAAATATATGATATGACAATATTATTTATCTTCAATCAATGTAATTACCGCAAGCAAGATATGTGCTATGAATTAACACGTCTTTGGAGTTCTGTAGGTGGATTCCATCTGTATTTGGACTGTCTCCGGGAGATGAGACTCTCATATCATGCACAACAACTCCTACGCAGTTGTCAAACTTGAGGTGGCATTGTGGGCTGTTTTGAATTGTTATGCCTGTGACTGTCACATTGAAACTTCCATAAAATCTTAGTGCCTGCAAAAAGAAAGCTTGTCAATCATGTTATAAAGTGCGTGCTCATGAATTGCGATAGAAATCTTCATGAAGTCCATACTGTGGGCTTGATGCTTGGCATTTTCCCGTTGAGCTCGTTTCTTATCTACAACACAATTCAGAAAAGAGGCACGATCAGTTTCAGATGTATACTGCAGATAATAATTGCAGTGGAAGGTACAAATTGAAGCCAATTACCGGCATTGGTGGGTGTTGTTGTACTGTGTTGTTCAGTGGAATAATGAGTTCCGATTCACTGTCTATAGGATCTTCAAATGGGTAGTCTTGCCACCAAACTGAGCCACTCCCATCAATGGTGCCTTTTCCCTGAATTGTGATTCCGACAAGCTTGGTGAATTCAAGCCACTGCAAGAGACCTCTACCCCAGGCATTGGCGTTTGATGGGGCAATAATTGTGCCATCCAACTGAGAAAAAAAAATCATCGTATCATCATTCATTAACATGAATTGCTGTCGTTTTCTCTGCACACAAATTCTGTATTTGATACTTACTTGAAATACAATGTTTGCTTGGCAGTACGGACCAGAGAAAGAAATAGGTCCCACGAGGAATGCATGTTCTGCTGGAACAATCAACGTTGATGCTGCCACTTTACAAGCTGCTGCCCATGCAGCTTGGAATGCCTGCGTAGCACCGTAACACCATGTCAACCAACTGTATAGTAACTGTATGCAATATTTGTTCATTTTTAAGGAATGGACCCCACCTTGGGGTGGTTCTGCTGTCTTTTCCTTTGTATTATTTGTCGGTGTTTTGGAGCTGTTTCAATGTGTAATTCTGTAATTTTGGTGAAATCAATTTGGTGCACAGCATGGCTGCAAGAACTGTGGAGTGTGGAGCAAATATCTCACGAGTCATGGCTGGTAAGGAGAGAATTAGTCCTGTTATGTAATTTTGAAAATTTAATTGACCTTTGGACTTGTATGAACCAAAGAAAAAAAACTCTATTGAATGCAGCTGTAATGTACTCTTGGAATCATGGAGATATTTTTTTTTGGTGTTTTTTTATTTTAATATACTTATTCATTTTTTATTAAAACTTTTTAAAAAATTAATTGTTATTACACTATTAAACACTCTCAAATATCTCAAATGTGTTAGAAATTGTTGTTAATAGTCTCCCTGAAACGCATGAACATTTTTACACTGCCAAATCATGTTTCGTGGACTAAACACGTGGAATGTGGGCATATGAAGGTGATATTTCGTAGACTAAAAAGAGATTCCATATTGTTGCCCCTTAATTTTCCATGCCCTTGTTACTCTGCGAAATTTCTATATATATATATATATATATATTAAGATAAAATTGAAACCTGTGTTGTACCAAATTAATATTATGTAACAAGCAACTTAATACCTTTGTATCGTCGCTCTTGCCATTACCCTTGGCCCCAAAATCAAGCACATTAAAGGTGGTGGAACCTTTCTGTGGTGGACTTGGTTTTGGTGCCTTTTCTTTCGGTGCAGGAGGGGGTAATGCTGGAGCTTTATGTTTAGGAGCTTTTGGTTTTGGTACTCCAGTATGGTGTTGGTGATGGCTGTTGCCATGGATTTTCCCTTTCTTCTTGGCCAGAGAAGCCGGGTTTGATCTGCTTTGCCTCCAATGCTTGCCTCTCCTAGCAATGCAGGTATCAAAACTTGCAGACCAAACTAGAAAAACAACGAAGAGCATGAACGCGAGGCTTCTAAAGGTAAACCCTCTCATGTTTACCATAGAAGTGGCTCAGTGTAGGACACACACAGAGAGAGGAGAGAGAGAGAGAGAGAGAGAGCTCTTGAGAATGCCAAATAATAAATGATGGTAGGGTTTATATAGGGGGGGAGTCCAAGGCTCATTAATCTGTATGTTGCGCTCAAAAGCAAAGATTATTCCGAATCTTCTGAAAATTATACGTTTCAAAATTATCCATCCTTTTTCTATCTTTTTCCCCTTTAATTGATAATCTTCTTTTCCTCTCTGTGAATTTTGGTTGGGCAACAGAGTGATCCTATGCCAAGCGTCAAAGTTTGTTGCATGTGACTCGTCCACTTGTGTTTGTGTGCGAGCACATTCTTCATAGATTATCTTTCCAAGTTATAAGAAAGAAATGACAGCAAAGGCAAATTAAAGCGAGCTATTTTAAATCTCGTTGTCCTGATTTGAAGGTTTTTTTTTTTACTCCTGATTTGATTACCACTTGATATTTCCAAGTCTTTATCAAATTATAAGAAAGAAATGACAGCATAGATAAAATTTATATTTATTTTTTTAATTATACATGCTTTTATCTATTTTATATCTATCATTTATATCCTGTCTTCATATATTAACCAGACAAAAAAAAATTTAATAAGAAAGTTAATGTTTTTTTTTCAATTCAAAAGCACTTCCAACAACACTTAACAAAACAGCAATGCCTACCTAAAGCGACCGATAAGACTTTTTTTTCCATGTAAAAGCCAAAAAGAGACATGTCAGGGGGTCTACAAGGGCACTGATTATAACAACTCTTTTATGGCCACATGCACGTTCACGGGCTAGAGTTTTGCTCTGTCCTCAGCATCTCCACTCAACCATGGCTGCAAACTTCAAGCTAGCTTCCATTTTATTTTCTTAATATTCTGTTTCTTTTCCCTTTAAGCAAGGGGGGAGAGAGAGAGACAGGGAGGCATTTTTTTTAACGTAAGGAATTAGAACTACCCTATGTCTTAGAAGACAAAAGATGACCTCACTTGACGGCCACATCTTTTTTTATTCTCCTCCTGCCTTCTCCGTCTTGAAAAGATAAGGGAAGCAGGGATTACACAACCCATGGAGCTCCAATGCATCACGTACATGGCAGAAACTGTAAGAAGGAAACATCCAATACGCCCATGGTTTTGCCTTCTCCCTTGGATGATTACGGTAAATTTGATCAATTGGGGCTGGGCGCATGGAATGACAGTGTCCAACTACCAATAATGCAGCACAGCAGCAAGCCAGAAGATGGAAAAAATGTCTTTCCTGAGGTCGTGTTTAATCTCACCTTAGAAATTAAGCAGGATTTAATGAAATTAATTCAGATTTGTGATCAATACGCCATCCATTTCGAGTAAAGCTATAAGGAGAAAAATAACATAAAGAATTAATTATTTGTAAAATACGCTCTCTTAATCACACCATTGTATAAAAAAATCCATCAATCACAACCTTAGCTAGGTTTAAAATCATGGATTTTGTTGATTTCAGGTAACATATTAGTATTAGTCTAATGTATTGGTTAATTAATCTTTTCTATGTTCGACCATTCATTCATTGATCAACTTAGTTTTATAAAGGGGGCTGGAATCTTATGATCATATGTAGAATTCAACCTTTAATTAGCTAGCTGTAAAGAGAAGTTAATCTCTCATGTAATTCAACATATCATATGTAGAATTCAACCTCTAATTATTAGCACTTGAAAATCACAAATAGGACGAAATGTCCCTTTTTTCATATACCTTGTGATCTGGCTTCTCGTATGCCGACGGATACATAAAAGCTACATATTCCAAGAGAGAAAATTACATTACTGAAACTAGAAAAATAGGCCGAAATTATGACTCGGCAACCATTGAATTATATGATTTAGACTCGTCGAAAGAAAGGATTGCTGTGAGGGGAATTATTGGCCGTCTTTTTGTGCATATGTATAGGCTCGTGAACTTTGAGTCATCATCTCGTGAACTTGGAGTTCCTTCGTCATCTCCATTATCAAATTGGGAAATTGCTTCGGCCACTAACCGAGGCATGAAACTTCGTACGTTATTTTTAGCCAACATGCATTTATGCTTTAATTATCCATATATTTCAACACTTCACTTTTGGAAGCTTAGCTAATTTTCCCTTTCTTGGATGTATTCCTCCAATCCTTGTTCATATTCAGATTTTGTTCACATGCAATTGGACGTTTAAACTGTATTCCTGTTATATTACATGATTTTTATAAAATAACATGGATAAGTTTGTGTACAATTCTATTTTAATATTATAATTAATTTTAGATGAACTTAATTATGTTTTTTTAATCGGTTAATTTTATCATTTTTTGAATTAACCAAGTTGATGGAACTAAAATTTTTTTTTTTAAGAATGAAGTATAATATCAAATTTAACAATAATATTAAATAATTCGTTATAATTTAGATATTTTTTTATATTTAATTTTTTTTCCCTTGCCGCGGTGCAATGTGGATTTGTAAACTAGTGACATCTATGTAAAGTCCACAAAAACTCAGCTTTGCCATAGTTTAATTAAGCCATTCAATTTTATCATGTGCTTTGCTCATATTCAGAATTACACCTAATATATTCTGTCTAGTGTCTGCCTCCGGTTCGTTCTGCATATTTTGAGAAGTCTTAAAGGCATTAAAGAAACCTATCAAGCCTCCAATTTTTATTTTAGGTGCAGTCAAATCTATTTTATATGCCTTCCAATCAAACCAACCTATTTAATTATAAGGTATCAAAGTTATTCAAATTTAAAAATAATTCATTTAATATAATAAATATTAACATTTATTCACTTATAAATAATTTTAAGAAATGTATTCTATATTAGAAAAAATTATAAGATATATAATTGAATATTACATGTGCCAAGAAAATTAAATTATATAAATTGTGTTATATGTCTAGTTATGATGATTATTCGTGATATTAATTTCAAACAATATTTACTTAGATCGACTAATGTAAAATAGCCAAGAATTGCTATTAAATTTAACAGTTTTACCAACAAAAAATTATATCAGTATTTATACTAATAGTCTATCTGTGATTATTTTATCAATGATATGGTGAATGGAAATGTCTGTCAAAAAATACTCACTAGTAATTTTTGGTTTGTCGGTAAGTCTATCGTTAATAAATTTACCAATAATAGACTTACCGATGACTTTACAAAAAAATTAATCATTTCATTTTATCAGTAATTCTCTCAGTACAATTTAACATATCACCGATAGAAAAATATTATTTAATTTTATTGGTAAAATTACATATCATCGATAAAATATCAATAATTCCATCGGTGAGTTATTAGTTACAGTGATATTTGCAGTAATTCTTTTTCAACTCTCTAAAATATATCGACAGATTTATTCTATCGGTGTATTAATAGTAGCAATAATATTTGCTGTAATTCTATTCTTTGGAATATATCAATGGACTTATTTTGTTAGTGAGTTAACAGTAGCAATAGCATTTATTGTAATTCTTTTCCAACTCTTTGGAATATTCTGACACAGTTCATCTGTCGGTAATACCATCTTTAATTATTTAAAAAATATTTTTTAAAAAAATATATTAAAATAATATAAAAATTAAATATTTATTATAAATTTAAATATTTGTACATTCAAATACAATAAAACTAAAATAGAGGTGATGTTGGAGGAGGAGGAGGAGGATGCTAGTAGTTGTCGGGATTGTTGGACCAATTAGGAGGTGCAAATATACTACCCATATGTGATCTCATTTCTATTCACACTCAGTGGAGTTTTCATGATCTGCTATGGGTCGTTTATATTTTTTATTGAGAAGAGTCGTCCGATCATATACACGAGTCTAACATCACCTCAAGCTCTAAAGTTTGAGTTCTTGGGACTAATTGCGAGTTTGCAAGTTCTTAGTCATAGTGTGAGAGAGTTCGTATGCTTGATTTCTATTAGGTCTATTGAACAATTCTACCTCCAATCACAAATCTGGATCGATGCTCGGGTAGGTTGAAGGATCATCACCATATCTCTCCTTCAACCAACTCTTATATGTTTCCTAGAAAGAAAAAATAAATTCATTAAGTTCAAGTAAATAATAACTTAAGAAAAAAACTAGTTGAAAACCAACATACCACAAAATATTGAGCTCAGCTACCTATGAATTACTACATTTTTTTTTGACATTCATCACTTTGCACATGCATTTTCATATTAAGCTTCATTGGGCTTGGTTCACGTTCAAGAACTGTATCCTGTAAGATAAAAATATTGTCAGTTAAATATATTTATAAAAAATAATAAATAAAAAATGGATGTAATTAAAAAATTACCATCAGCTTTGCATGCAAAACGAACAAAACAAAATCATTAATGTGCATGGTAACAGAACCGTGAACACGCTAGCTCTGGTTCCTCGCACAGGACTATGACGTACCGTCGAGTAAAATACTAAATAAGAATAAGAATATCATTTTCACAAGATTGAGTATCTAGTTTATTATATCAAACTATATTTATTTTACCATTAAAATTTAACAATCTAGAAATCAATATTAAAAATAACAAATAAGGTTTAATGTTGATTAATGTGTAAGCTTTGAAAAAGTGTAAAATTACTTGTTTGTTATTGTGGTAGTTTTTATTTTTTTTTAATTTTTTATCTGAAAATTATTGAATTAAAATTTTTTAAAAATATTTTTCAATAATTTTTATATATTAAAATAAAAAATAAAAAAAAATATTTTAAAAACATTTTAAACTACAATATTAAACATTGAAAAGAAAATTACATAGCTTTCGTATTCCACAATGACGCAAGAATGTTCTCACTCTTTCGTGTATAATGGATTTCGTTTGGAAAACAAAATGTTTCGTCTTATTGGAAGGTTCAGATCCGGGTTTCAAAAGTCAAGGCACCATATCTTGAAAATGTGCTCATGTCTATATATATATATATATATATAAAAGGAATCATTCGTAGTGCTATAATTAAATCCCATTTTTATAAACAAACTTGAGATCTCAAGTACGATTGTTCAAGATTTATCAAGAAAGAATGGTTGAATAAACCATGTTTTTTCTTAGTAACTGTTCTAGATATAATTAAAGATAATTTATGATATGTCAGTCTGGATATTTGGTGAAATTATTTAATTTATTTTTACATTTCAGATCCATCTTCATCTCTATTTCTTAAACATGAATATTAAACCTCTTGAAATTAGAAATCGTTTATACAAGTAATGAAAAAAACATATTTCATATATATATATATATATATATGATTCTAATGTGTCTTGATATAGCTTCACTCATTTATATTAGTATTAATCGAATTT